ACCCAGTGAAGCCAACATGACCATCCCCGCGGCCATCAAGGCAGCCATCAAACGACTCCACGAGAACACAGGTCACCGCAGCAATCGTCGCTTGGCACGCGCCTTGACTCTTGCTGGAGCCCCTGTTGAAGCCATCGTGGCTGCCAAGCGTCACAAGTGCGACGTTTGCCGGGAGCGAGCTCCACCAAAGTTGAAGAGACCAGCATCGCTTCCTTCGCCCAAGGATTTTGGTGACCAGGTCCACATCGACCTTTTGGAGGTGGAAGATGGGCGCGAGCAAAAGTATGTGATCGCTCACTGCACCGATGCTGCCACCAAGTACCAAGCCGCAGAGATTTTGCCTAACAAGTCCACTGCAGCTGTGATTGAGTTCCTGAGCAAGCGGTGGGTTCCCGCCTTCGGCCCTCCTCGTGTTCTTGTTTGTGACCAAGGCCGTGAATTCATTTCCTGGGAGATGGAGGAATGGGCTAGCTCTATGTCGGTCATGCTTCATCATGTGGCAGTGCAAGCCCCATGGCAGAACGGCATCGCGGAGAAATCCGGAGGGGTGCTGAAAACCTTGATGTCCGCCATCGTGACGTCCAAGAGTGTGGTCACCAAGGATGAGATGGAGATGGCTTTGGGGGAGGCTGTGGCGGCATACAATGGTGATGTCGATGGTGAGTCAGGATGCTCCCCCTATCAGGCAGTCTTGGGACGACAGCCACGCATGGTGGGCGATGTTCTGGGCGGGGTGCAACAGCGCCTCAGTGAACATGGGCTCATCGAGTCCAAACCTTCTTTGGCCCGGCAAGTGGCACTCCGTGAAGTCGCGAAGCTTGCGATGACCCGGCTGCATTTCTCTCGAGGTTTGAGGCGAGCTGAACTGGCGAGATCCCGTTCCTCTACGGTGGAAAATGCTCCCAAGCCTGGAACGGTCTGCTACTTCTACCGTCCTTTGAGGTACAATAGCAAGACCGGGCAAAGCAAGAAGAAGTTGACCTTGAAGCGATGGCATGGGCCCGCCATGATGGTGGCTCAAGATGGACATGCTTCGGCTTTCCTCTCCTACAAGGGTCAACTCACAAAATGTGCGCTTGAGCATGTGCGAGTGGCATCGACGATGGAGCAAATTGCTTCAGGGGCATGGGGCGAAGCCATCAAGGAGGCGGTGGAGGATGCCAAGTATGAAGTCGCGCTGAGACAGCCCCGTTCCGATGCCAACACTCCTGAGGAGCCTGGACCACAACCTCTACCTGTCCTACCAGAGACTACCGCTGAGGGGGTGAATCCTAGGACTCCAGCATTTCTCCCATCCTCGACTGAGGCAATGCCTGCCGAAGAGAACCAGTTAGATGGCGAAGACCTACCTCCAGTGAAACCACAGGAGCTCTGGCAGATGATGGTTCCCTCCAGTTCTCCCGTTACATCCCAGGTGGCTTCAACATTGCCTTCGAGGAGGGTGAGTGATTTTTCCGAATCTCCTTTTCCAGAAACTACACGGAAGGCTTTCAGCCGGAAGTCTTCGGGTCTCCCACTTGAGACCGTGCGAGAAAGGGCAAAGATACTGGACGATCGTTCTGAGACAGGCCAAAAACGACCTGCCGATGTGGACATCGACCAGTTGCGAGATCAAGAACAAGGACATTCTTCGACGGCAGCGGCCAGTGGAAGTGGAGCAGAGCATGACACACTTCTTGGTGAGCGGTTGACTCCAGCGGAGATTGCCGATGAACTAGGTCAGGACGATCTTCATCCCTTGAGAAAAGCCTACCTCCTGGCCGAGCAGGACAAGCGAGATCCTCTGGAGGCCATGGTTCCGGATCACGGGACTTGGCATGGAAAATGGACCTTGCCATCGCGCTCTGAATGGCAGGCCCGACAAAACTTGGGTCTGGACTGGCCTACCGGTGATTCGACGGAGGCAGAAGTTTTGGCCGTGCAAGCGAACCGCAAGGAGTTCCGCTGGAAGACGATGTCTGAGAAGGAGAAAGAGGCCTTCAAGGAAGCGGCCAGACAAGCCTGGGCGGTGTGGGAAGAAAACGATGCAGTCGAGATCCTCACACCTGAAGAATCAAGCCGTGTCCGACGAAGATTGGCTGGAGCACATGAAGGAAGCAAGATATTGACTCCTCGCTATGTCTTCACTGACAAGCATGAAGGATTGAGAACAGCTGAGAATCCTCTTCCTCTTCGTGCTCGGGCCAGGGTGATCGTACCTGGCTACAAGGATGTGTTCTCCTATAGCCTGCGAAAGGATGCGCCGACCGGCTCTCGTGTTGCTCAGCACCTTCTGTTCACATTCACAGCGAGTCAGGCTCGGGCAAGCAAGGAGTCGGAGAAGTTATGGAGGCTGATGTCGGCCGATGTCAAGTCCGCATTCCTCAAGGGCGATGCCTATGTGGACGGTCAAAGAGAGCTTTTCCTCGAGAATGTCAGAGGTGATGATCCGAAGCTCCCTTTCGGCGATTGCCTGGCGAAGATCAGAAAAGGGGTTTTTGGACTTTCGGATGCTCCTCGTCAATGGTACCTGCGGCTGAACCGTTCTCTACAGGCCGCCGGTTGGGAGCGAACTGTCTTTGACTATGCTTGCTGGCTGTTGTGGTCGGAAGACCGACAAAACTTGGAAGGCATCATCCTCTCCCACGTCGACGACCTACTGTTGGGCGGGAATGTCCGAGCCCAGAACAGTTTGCTGATGATTGGACAAGAACTCGGTTTCGGCAGCGTGGAGTATGATGACTTTGTCTATTGTGGGAAGCGAGTCCAGATGAAGTCCGACGGCTCCGTGGTGATCAACATGCAGGCCTACCACGAGAACCTCAGGCCTATGGAAATCAGCCTGGCCAGGCGAAAGACTCCGGAGGCTGAGCTGACGGAACAAGAGAGGAGGCAACTTCGTGCAGTGCTGGGCTCCCTTCAATGGCTGGTGGCCCAAGTGAGATTTGACCAAGGCTATGCCCTCAGCACTCTCCAAGGAGAGAAGCCCCTCGTTGGCACGCTGATCAAAGCAAATCAGCTGATCAAGGAGTTCAAGAGGCGACCAAACTTCTCGCTGACCTTCCAGCCGATGAACTTGGCGACTGCTGGCATCATGACCGTGTCCGACTCATCCCTGGGAAATGTTCTCAAGGGAGGTGGCAGCGAGGGAGAGCCCCATGAGAAGCACTATAGCCAGTCCGCCTACTTTGTGATTGTGGGAGACCAGGACCTCATGTCCGGCAAGGAAGGTGTGTTCAATGTCATCGATGCTCGAAGTCATCGCCTACCTCGGGTCTGTCGATCCACTTATGGCGCTGAGCTGATGGGAGTGGAGGAAGGCATGGACATGGGCATCTTCTGCCGAGGAGCGCTTGGAGCCTTCCTGGGACTTCCCATGGGACGGCGTGACGCCTTGAAAGTGATGGAGGTGATTCCCATGGTGGCCATCACAGATGCCAAGGACACGTATGACAGAGGCAATTCGGATTGCCCCACCTATGGTGCTCAGAAGTCAATGGCCTTTTCGGTCTGTTGGATCCGACAGGTGCTCAATGGCTCGAACTCCCACCTCAAGTGGACAGCCACGGCGAACATGTGGGTGGATGCCGGCACCAAGCTGATGCCTTGTGACCACATGCAGGGGATTCTTGAAAAGGGGAGGTGGAGCTTCGTGTACCACCAGGACTATGTGAAGCAGTCTCCCAAGAAGAAGGGCGCTGCGGAAGTGAGCGAGGGAGCCTTTTTGCCAGGTGAACCTATGGACACCAAGGCTCAGTTGTTTCAGTTCATTTTGAACCTCAGCAACCATATCGGTTGGCATGAGAAAGACAACGTCATTGTTCATGTCGCCTGTCCAGCCCGATCCTACCGGGTTCCCGATGCTCGATATGGTAGCACGAAGTACCCTTTTCGATCAACGTTCGCACGTTTTGATTTGAAGGACGGCCGTTCAGTTTGGAGGATCCTCGAACATAGAGAAGACCTCCGTGAGATGGAGAAGCGACAAGCCTTGTTGCCCTTCCCGGCCGGTTGTTTGGTGAGCATTTTCCTGTCGCAAGCCACAAAGAATGTTTGGCAGCTGAAGAAGCATGCTGCTAGCTAGGAAGGTGTCTTGGACAGGAAGCACCCATGTGTTTGGCGTCTGCAGGCGCCTCAGCCAAGCTACGTTCGTTTGCCCCGGTGAGAAAACCGCGTTCGCACGTGTGCCATAGACTCGTGCTGCATCATATATAGATTCTAGATGACTTGGGTGTTGTGTTGATGTTATGGAGGCAGCGTAGATGACACGCAAAGCCGCTGTATCGGCCAAATTTGGTGGCGAGGAATTATACAACGACTTGCACAAGAGCTATAAGGCAACGAGAAACCGCCACATGCCCCAGAAAGGATGGTCTTTCCAGCAGCAGGCACAGCAGAACAAGAACGAGATGAAGCGCTTGGGCGGCAGACGATAGCCTGGTTGTGGATTTAGAAGCACTGCCACTATCCAGCTGATGAGTACCATGTCCACGAACCACCCCCTGACTGCGTACAGCGCCTTCGCCTCGAGCCTTCCCAGCGCAACGGGCAAGACCATGGGAGCGACTGAGGCCCAACCGGATCGGATTTCTGGCGATGGGAGTTTGCTCCTGGTAGCGTTCCTTGCTCCTAGTAGTAAGGCCAGGAGCCCCTAGTAGCGTTGCTGCTCCTAGGAGTTTGATTTTTGGTACGTGAGAATGAATCAACCAGCGAACCTGGTGCACTTGGCAACACTTGGCATTCCGTCTGAGAGCATCTCGCACTTCTCCGAGCAACCGCCATCGGACACCTTCACCTCTGACGGAGAGAGTAAAGTAGAGCTTTAGAACGTGGGAGGCCATCGCTATTAGGGCGCCATGCACCGCATCTGGGTGGAAAAGATGGCTCCGGAGCAGCGATCTATCATCGGGTTTCGATATCTCCAAGATCAATGGGTCATGTAAACAGCCACGGTGGAAACAGCCCTGGGAACCCAAATGGCCAGAGATTTGTCGAAGGGCCTTCCCAACTCGTCCAGTGAGGCTGAGCTGAGACCAAGCCTGGGCATATCCAGAGGCAGCGCAAAGCACTCAAGACAATGGGAAGCAGGACTGCTACAATGTACAACAATTTGCTAATTTAATCTAGTATATACATGGTTTCTGATTCTCATGGCAATGTCAAGACATTCCCATTTTTGGAATATCCTGGAATAGATCCCTCTTTGCAGCTATGTAACAGCTACCTCTATTTACGTCAGAAAACTTGCCGCCGCCTGAATGCCCACCTTGTGCTATTCTAGCTACCTTTCTTTAGGGCAACCAAGAGAATCAACATTCTATTCCGCGAGGGCTTGGGAAACTGCTAGACACGTCATACTTAGGCATGGTATTATTGATGACTAAGGCCCATGGCTTCTTGCCAGCCTTCCAAGCATGGGATTCCCTCGCGGGTTGTCCCGAGATTGTTGCAGGGCAACAACTGCAGAATGCAACGACATCCCTGCTGCGGCCACTGGCAGGTGGGGGGCATTTGGCAGGTGGGGGCCATAGAGGAGGCCGAGATCATGCTAGGTGTAGGTTTTACTGGGTGGCTGGAAAGCAATTGAATTGCTTTCATCCTCCGATGATTCCCACGACGTTTCAAGCGACTGGTGCAGAAAGCTGAGTACCACGCAGGCCCACGAACCACTTGCCGCAAGTGTGATGATCCTCTGAACTTGGGCAAGGTAGTTCAAGAAACTTCTCAAACAGGAACAGGATGATAAAGGCATGCATTATGGGGCGAGGGTGACCAGCAGGCATCGGTGGGTTAGCAGATTACATCATGATGTCCTTGTGGGGTAATGCTTGAATGTCCCAAATCCCATTCGTCTTTGGTGTGAGATACTTGGCTCAGGTCAAGCCACTTTGTGTGATGACCAATTTAAATAGAAAAACTCAGCAAGTTGGCGGTTTGCACAACGTTGTTTTAGGATGTTGATGGTTTTTTGTTGGCACGTGCCCAGGCTGATGGTGGAACCTCACAAGCAACCAGGTATCCCTGCAGTAGAACAAAAGTCGGTCCCATTTTTGGACTGTAGTTCACAGTTTGTCGTGTACTTGAGGCTGGTAGTTGCCCTGGTGCACTTGAAACAATGTGACTGCCAATGTATAGTATGTTGTGGAGATTTGTGGAGCAAAGTCACCCCACTCAGAAATAGAAGAGTGCTAGTTAGGGTGTGCTGAAGCAGTGCAGGGGTGTGCGGAGCTCAGGCAGGTCGATGACCCGCAAGATCAAACATCAAAGTACTTGCTGGGCCTGGGTATTTGAGGTCTTTTTTTAAAACAGGGTTTGATACCAAAACGTAGCTGGATCATGATACGTGGTCCAACCCCCAGAGTAACATCCCAACTGCTCGACTGCGGCTGCCAGTTGCAGCTGCTGCCGGTGCGACAGCCGGAATAGGGCGCGGACGAGGCTTGGTGGCTCACATCGCCTTTCCGTTTGCCAGGCCAACCTAGAAGCAATGGCCGCCTCCAACCTAATAGCAATGGCCTCCAACCTAGAAGCAACGGCCTTTCCGTTTTTTTGATGTTCATTTCGATTTATAAAGCTGTCGCTGGGCACATAAGTTCAGTCGGTTTTGTGGCTCTGCTTTACTCCAATAGGCACGCATATGCTGCTTTTACTTGATGATGTCAAACATAGAAGCTATACTTAAGTTACTTAAGCTTAGTTGTTACCCGTTTCTCGCTCGTTAGTTAAGAATTCTAGAGTCCTACCCCCGGGGGCCTCCCCCAAAACAGTGTCACTTTTGTCGCCTCAAAGTTGAACTGCCCAGCACGGACGATGCAGGTCGCAGCAGGGTCTTCCAAAGCGCTGAGAGGCAAGGTGGTGGCGGGAGGTTGAGGAATACACCAATGAGGATGGCAAGCCAAGAGCCCAAGATATGAATCGTGCAAACAAGCTGGACATTCGGGCAATGAACCAAGGAATATGAAGTGATGAAGACCTGCTGTTCTGAGAGCTATTGCATTTTTTGCTTTGGTGGGGATGATGAGGACTCGGTGCCTTGCTTGACACCGATAGTTTGCAAGCTCTTTTTGGATAGACATAGATACAGTAGGTACCTATCTGTAGACCCCGAATGAAGCAGATGCTGATATGACCGAGTGCCTTAGTAGTACCTGCTCCTAAATTTGCACTAGCCACCCAATCTGAAGTCCACTTGCCTCCTGTGGCAGTGGCGTTTGGACCACCCTTAAACAAATCCAACTTTTCGAAATGACTAGTTGCTGCTTTTATCGCCTTTGTTGGTTTTGGGAGGTGTCCAGTGAATCTTGTGGTTGACCAGTTGGTTTGGGTCCATGCGACGTTTCTGACATGATAAACTTCACAGGTTTCAATTGTCCTAAAATGGGAGCCCCTTGCTTTTGGAGAGAATTTGCATATACGGCCAGCATACTTTCTTGCCACAGCTAAGACTGCATGAAATGTCTGACAGGCTTCATCCAGGCTTTCTGACAGGGCCAGTGATCTTCCTCCACCAACCGGTTCTGCTTGAGCTTTCCCCACCGAGGTCGAGCGCCACGGACTCTGACGAAGACTTCGACTATGGGGTCTGGGGCCCCTGAATTCAAAGCTGCTCGGTTTTCGAGCCAAAAAGAACTTTGCTCATTTATGATTAGTGTTTTACTTTATTTGCTCCATGAAGTCATTTTGGCAGAAGAAAGATACCATTTTTGTGAGAAGATAAGGGTTTTGGTCTGCAGTTGATCCATTTTGATTTCCTCAGGTTTCCCCGAAGCTGACATGATGCGGGTTTAGGGCACCACCGGCCACCGGCGCGGCCGCACTGAGGCTGGCAAGGCCTACTGGGACAAGCGCTACCAGGCCCGGACATGGGAAGCGACTTCAGAGGTTTGAGGATGGCAATGGAGGTATGGAGGATGAACCTGCTATATTTTGATGAAAAGGACTGCTCGAACCGAAGATCGTATTGGGAGATGTGGATCTTTCTTTTGAGGAGTGGACCGATTGGAGCTATTTGTGATCAGAGGCTCAAGTGCCTAAAGTCTCTCTGAAGTGGCCCTGCGGTTGATGGAAGACATGCTGCAGGTTGATCTACAGTCAAATTAAGTAGGATTGAAGCTTTCACTCCACTTGTGATTGCCTTCACCAGAGAGAGGATGTCCCCGTCCCCGTCAGTCCCCCGCGCCCCAGAATGAAGTGGGAAACACCTACGACTGGCAGGGGGCCTAATTGCTTCAGCTTCATGTGCCCTTGAGCAAATGAAAAGAACCTGAAAAGCATTGTCTATACGAACCACGTATGATAAGTTGACTATGACTATGATGAATAGTCAGAGACATCTATGATATAATATAACTACATACAGCACTATAAGGGTTCATGACGAATGAACACACATTGGAGATACTTCATACAGTAAGGTTTCCGTTGAAACGGTTTATTGGGTCCAATCGCAGTGGGTCTTTGCTTGGCTCAGGGATGAGCAGCGACTGGTGAAGTAGGAGAAAAGGAGGGGTACTGCGCGGCTTGCAAGCAGTCTTCACATCAGCAAGGTCTCACTCACATCGGCAAGGTTGACCGATTTTTGTATGGCATTTTGGCTGTTTGGGTACCGTCAATTGCAGCACGTCATGTCCTTTGGCCATGTTGGCTGGGCTTGGATCGGCTTTGATGTTGTAACTTCGACCGTACTGAGGTTGGGAGGCTATGAGAAGTTCAGTGAGTTCATTGAGCGCCTTGCCAGTGCTCATTGAACGGTTTGGTCGATTTGGGCGGAAACGAATGGGCAGCTTGGAAGCTTTCAGGGCGGTGCAGGCGAAATGTGTCGGCTTTAGAGGGGCACAAGATCTTCCGCGTCATTGGAAGCAGAATGAACCGTATGGATCGTGGTGGACCTAGACAGAGCCATTACGGAACTGCCCACCCTGGTGCATCCAGTGGTGCCAAAAACATCAAAAAATCGGGTGGATTGGTTTTTGTGAAGGAAACACGATTTGTACGATCTAATATGTGTCTCATGATGTGCCATGTGTTTGTTTGTATCAACGTATATATATGTATATATATATATATGTATTATAAGTTATAACTATTATTATATGTAATGTATGTACATACAAATATATACAATTGTATTTACACGTTCACGGCCCAGGGCTACACACAAGTCACAAGATCATGCAAGCAATGCTTGTGGCCAGACTGGTGCACAAAGATCGAAGATTTGGTGCCTAGCTCCGCAGCTTTCCAACTTAGAGATGATTGAACATATTTTTCGGTGTGCGGCCTTCTCCAGGAGAAAGGCACAGGTTGCCAAGGTTTAGCAGCCTAGCAAGGTTACCAACCGGGTTAGCTATATACCCACATAAACCTACGCGCTGACCTTTGCCAAAAATGTGTGTCAACTTGTCAACTTTGGATTCTGGTAGCTGATTGTAGGTCTCGAACATACAATGCCAAGCGAAGAATACACATTTCGTATTTGATCGCCCAATTCTTTTTCCAATGCCCGTGTTCATCCAATCCCTTTTAGTTCGTCCCTTGTGACAGCGGAGGTCTGCAACCAAAGACTTGTCTGAGTTGGAGGCTGAGATGGACCCTGACAAGTTGATGGTCGAAGCGGACAGAGATGGACAGATGGACATAGATGGACTGTTTAGACGATGGACTTCGTGCATAGCTACTTTGGAGGGAATCAATCACGACAACACACAGGGATTTTAAACCGCACAATGTAGCCAATAGTATTAATCTAATGATTCTAATGCTATTCTGGGTGTTCCTTCAAATTGAGAGTTGGGAGGCCCCCTACCAACCTCTTGGGCCAGGGTGTTCTCCCTTGAGGAGATAAACCTAGATATCATATGATATCACCAAGTTGGTATTTGTCACAGAGGCCAACCTCTGCACGAATCTTGGATTTGGGCTGTGGCAATGCTCGGCTGGCAGAGGAGAAGTTCCGGTCTTGGCAAATCGTGAGGATTTGGATGAATTCTTTGTGTGGCAGGGTGTGGACTCCTTTGATTCCCCATTGTCAACCGCGGCAGGACATGTACGACAGGGGGTTCTACAACATCACAGGGCTGGACATCTCTGATGTGACCACGTGGCACGCTTGAGGAGTGCACCCGAGGAAAGTTGCCACTTAGAGTCGATTATATTCATATGAGACACCAGTAAATATACATCCAAGGTTCCAGCACCGATAAATACACAGATTGCACATGAATTTGTTCAAAGCAGCTGGCTGTGTATGAGTGAACAAGGTTGAACTCATGGTCATCGTCATCATTGTTCATTTTTCAGAACAAATAAAGAAATTTGACCAGCTGTGTATGAGTGAACGAGGTTGAACTCATGGTCATCGTCATCATTGTTCATTATTCAGAACAAATAATGAAAGTTGACCAGCAAATCATTTTTCGACAAACCTGACCTTCCAAATCATATGGATTCCAAATCAAGCTTCCGCTACCTGCTTCGCTTGCTTCGCCATAGCAGGTTGCTATTGAGTCGATGCGCTTGGATCCAAGAATCACCTGGAAGATGTGGATGCCTCTGAAAACGGGTTCTGAAAACACCAGGACACCCTCTAACTGGGACGCCCTCTACATTGGAAAACGGATTTTACTGTATTCATTTTGAACATAAGGGTGTGTCCTGGCATTCTCAGGTTTTCTGGTCCTCTCCTATCTATCCTATAGAACTTGTTCTTTCCTTGATAACTTGATGCCTTCTGGGAATGTCCTCAGCAGAAGGTTTGTGGCTTAGGTCGGTGAATGAAAGCTGCAAGGGGGTTGGCACTACTTCTCCAAGACCTACACTTTTTTGAGGGGTCCATGCATGTATGGCTTGAGCTATTCAATCAGCTTAATCAGCTTGCACTGAAGCATTGGGAGGGCTCCCATGTTCTGCTGATGGAGCATGAGGTCAGCGCAACGCAGAGGAGAGGCCGAAGATCCACTGGGCGCGGTGGCCCAAGCAACTGGACACGCCCATGGGCTTTGCCATATCGTTTTGGTGTCCCTAAGCCTAAGACCTTCGAAGGGATGGCTTTGTTTCTGCACAGTGGAACTAAACCACTGCTCGGACACTTCCATTTCTTAAACGATGTCTTTCTAGTGTGGACCATTGTGGACCAATTTCATCCACTAGAAACTGTTCATGCCTGCGTTTTGGCAACAATGAGATCATCATTTTCACTGACGTCCGGCTCCAGACTCATGTTTCGGTTCCGACTCATGGCTTTCCGGCCGAACCGCTTTGCGACAATGGTGGGAATGATGGACCAGATCGACCCCAGGTGGTGGGAGACGCCTTTGAACTTCCCTTTGAGGACACTGTGTGTGGGCCGATGTTGACAGGGCGCATTTTACAGAGGCCACATTGCTTCCACATACGCAAAACCGTGCGGACACAGCATTTGGTGGTTTCTTTGGAAATCAAGACGTTGAAGATACCTCAAATTCTCTTCTGAGACTCCTTATTTCTAAATATATATATATATATCAATATATATATATATATCAATATATATATATATCATGTATAATATGCTGCAGACTTGGTCTGTGCGCTGCTCCACCCTAGGGGGGCCTGGGGTTTCTGAAGGAGAACATTCTCCATCTCTCGCTCCCAAAACGCAGGATGAAGCATTTGATCTCGTCATTGACAAGAGCACGTTTGGCACCTAGCTGACCCCAAGCAAACTACAACTTCTGTGGAGATGCTTTTACATATGATTTGTCTCTCTCTCTCTCTTCTTGCTTTGGTTCAGCCCTGCTTCATTCAAATTGGTCAGGAATCCAGGAACTCTGCCGCTGTGCAAGCGACTTGCCAAGGACAGATGCCGTTTCCTGTGACCAGGACCACCTCAACGAAAACTTGCCCTGAACCCAGCAAGCCAGTGACTGAACTCCCAATGCCAGAGGGAGATGTCCAGAACTTGGGGGCTGCATGGCCTAAAGGAAAAGCTCCATCATAAGCTGGGAAGCAAAAGAATCCAATGCGGATGGTACTGGTAAATTCCATGATGACGACTCAAAGCGTTTTGGCTGATGAACTTTGCGTGGGATCAAAACGGTGGAAACTTGTTGTATGCTGTATGTATTGATTCTGTACTCAGTGTCAATGTCATTTCCACCTCACAAAAAAATATCAGTTTTGCAATTTCATGACTTGAATGCCTTTGACCTTCGATTAGGGTCTGCATGTGTATGTATATGAGGTCAGAAGTTGGGGGTGACCGTGCTAGTCTACAGATTGCTAAGGACCAAGATGTATAGTGAAGCACAGCGAGTGCTCAAAAAGGCGGGTGTTGAACTTGTGCTGATGCAGCGGCTGCGATAGCGGAGTTGTTTGAGATCAAAAAAATGAACACAGAGGAGATTTGCTGCACAAGCCAACAATGCCTTGGTGTTTTTGTTTATGTTTCAACGAATGCGCAGGGTGGCACCTTGCTGGTATTCAGTGCAGCGAAACAAGTGCCTTTGGCTTTGTGAAAGGTCTTCTGGGATTTGCGAGCTTTGCGTTGCTTCAACTGCAAATTAGCAAATACAGGAGCATGCAACATCCAGCACATAGTTTGCTGGTGCAAGTGATGCTGTTGATTCCCCAATGCATCACCTACATTCACGTTAATTGTGTGCATTGATTGATGCAATACTAACCACAGAGTTTGGTTTCGGAACTCAAGCCTGCTGGGTTAGTTTAGAGGTCAGTTGGAGTGCAGCAAATACTACTTGATTCGCAAGCCCACAACCTTGGGAGGATTTTTGAAGCTCATCACCTGAAAGGTTTGGATTGAGAACATGATCTTTCCGATGGTTCTGATGCTGGTTCCCTAGAGGATTCCGCACCATCGGTTCACTTCTTCGGCAAGCAAGTGCTTGGCCCTCCACTGCCTTAGGTTCCCCGCACGGGGCTGCGACTGCCGCACTTATCCTTTGAATTGGAAGAGAAGGACAGGTCCCAAACGATGGTGACAGTCCGCTTTTGCCAGAGAACAGCATGAACGACATGTTTTTCTCCTGAAGTGGTTTAAGTCAAACATTTTGAAAGGGACGTAGGGATGGAAAGACTGTGGTTGGGTCATTTCAGTCAGTCTGCTGGGTGCAGAAGCAGAACTGAAATCCTGTTCTAGGATACGTTTCTTGACATCGCTATTTCACAGCATAGCTGGACGAGAGCTAACGAGTAGCCGAAAGCTAACGAGTCAGCTGCCTCCAGGAGCTTTACCTGCCCTTCGCCAGTCTTTGGGCCTTTGTGGCCATCAAGACCGACAGACCTGCCATGCCTTTGTCACAGGCGGGGAGAGACAGCTACTGTAGGGCTGGAGTGTGAGTTTTAAGGAGTTTGCAAGAGGGTACATTGGCAGACTAGACATACACTGTAAATACGATTGATAATTACATGTGTTTTTTGGTATACATGCACAGTATATATGATGTCAAGGATGGATCAATATCCCCGCTAGAAGGTTTCTTATTTCGGGGGTCGGAGGGGGTCGGCGAAGGTTGGGAATGTTTTGTTAATTTGGACAATCAGGAGAGGTCACTAAGACATACTAAGACTATATAAACCATTTCATCATGAGAGATCCCCAAGACTGAATCTCTTCAGAGGAGGGATCCCAAAGACTTGAACCTCTTCAAGAGGGGTGTTGGAATTGAATTGGAAGGGTTTCTAAATTGACAATAGGTTAATGAGATGAGGATCATGAGATGAGGTACCGAGGAAACGAACAGAGTTGAAGAAAGGGAACAAATGCGGTTATATAGTACTACCAAAAATTGGCCCAAAGTAGGAAAGGTGGACGTATGCCCATATACGAAAAACATTTATACATGATTATACATGGACACAGTATAACACATATATATATATAGTATATACATAGAATATAACCGAACTGTTACTAAATGCATACAAAAAGGTATGTTTGAAGATCTATAATTACATATTGACATAGACTTCGTTTATGTGTCATCCTTTTGGCCTGAAGTGTGCCAGGCTCTTCAGATGGCTCAGGGGGCAGATCTGCAGATGCTCCAGGCCGTTGTAATATTGGGCCACTGCCGCGGCTCCAGGGCCCAAACAGTCTGCTGTGATCTACATGCACTGTGACTGCTACGATGGAGGAACCTCATTTTTGGTCATAGAATCCTAGAAACAATTGACTTGCTGTATAGTAAGTACATAGTGCTGTTTGCCGCCGTCAAGCAAGTTTGTTTCCAACGTTGACCCTTGATCCTGGCCACAGTATACATATCAGAAAATAAGGCTGGTTAATTTTGTAACAGAAAGCTTTGATGTGCGCAGCAAAGATCTCCGATTTTTCCTCCTGAGGTTTGGGATGGTTTGGGGGTTCCACAGCTTATGACTTAGAACTGGGTCCCTTCCATCCGGCCACGAAGAGCGGATTGAAGAGCAGACTCCGGGGATGCGACAGCAACTCTTCTGGCCAAGAATAGGGCGAAGTAGAGGAGGCAACTTGGCAGCTTTTATAGACGCAAGGACACTCTACCAGTTTTGATGTACTAAGTCCCACATACAATGCCTCGCACTTGATACGCTGTGAAAACTGGCGGAAACTGTGTCACTGTGTTGCTGTGGACTCCCTGTTTAAGTCCCCCGCGAGTCCGTTCCTGCCTCACGAACGCATCCTTCCTTTTTCAGGCGCGAAAACGCGAGGAAGAAGCGGAAGAGTTGAGATCTCAGTATAGGAACCACTCCTGAGACTGGTCGCAGCGGGCCCACTTCGGACTGCCAGAAGGGTGGGAGATTCAGAGTTGCGAGATTGTTGTTCAGCCAAACCAGAAGTACACTACACTTGAGCCTGAATGTCAACCGAACCTCTGGCACAGTTGTGACACCTTTTGGAAAGCTTGTGCAGTAATTAGAGCCTGGTGGTTCTTCTAGCAAGATTGCATCGATGGGGACAATCTTAAATGGTCGGCGGATAAGCTCAGATGAGGCTCCTTAGCAGGGAAGGCTTCGCCAGAACATGGTGAAGGTAAAACTACTGTACACTACCACCCTCACCAAAAGAATGGCACTAGAACTAGGCCACACTAGCCGCGTTTGCAACCCTGTTTTTCCAGATCCTGTCTACGACTCGAGGCTTCACTCCAGGATGTCACAAGTCTTGAACGACTTTCCAACTCGTTCACGTCTGCTTTTTTCGAGCCTCTAAGGCGTCTCAAATCCACCTCCAGCTTTGGCGTGCTGGACTGAAACGAGCTTTCGATCAGACTAGGTCATCCCCAGCCTTTCCTTTTGTGGTGTTTCTTGTCCTTCAAAATGACCTGGCTGAAGCAAGTAAGAAACGCAAACAAACATAGAAGCCTAAGTGCATTCTTTCATGTTGAATCGGACGTTTGCACTCAGTCCCAGCTAGAGCGAGACCCCAGATGCCGGCCAATGAGCCAGAGATGAGAAGAGGAGCAATCGGTTGGTGGAAAAGATGCAACTGGTAGAGCAAGAATGAGCAAGATCATTTTTGGTAGAGTCGTGATTTTGTTACAAAGTGAATGGCTGAGGGGGGAACTTGAGATCCAAGAGACATGTTGTGATTGAGAGCCTCTTCAAAAGGGCTCTGATTCTTTTGCCCTGGCCCGGAGCCCTTAATTTTGGATCTGAGCGACATAGAAATATGGTCTGTTCCACAGCCTGTTTTTGCTGCATATATGAATGATATGTGTTTTTTTTCTGCGAATGATGTAGATCGGAGCTGGCTTGCAAGGAGGGTTAGCGATTGAAATGCGGGTTCATTCTTCATCAGTTTGAACGAAGCCGTAAGGCTGCAATAGTCTCGGAAGGTGTTCTTTGCTTAGGTTTTAGCAACAACGCCGAGTCAGAGAGTTGTCATGAGACTGAACACATCTACATGCAGCATATTTCTACAACAGTGTTAGTTGGACTTTCATGGTTATTTTTTTCGATTCTTTGCTTTGTTCGGTTGGAGGCCAGGCTGCGGCCATGCCTTGGTCCATCGTGCTTGGTCCGCCTCGAATCTCTCGAGTCTTTAAGGGCGGCAGTTAGGCGTAGCGACACGAGATCGCGGAGATCCACCGAAGACCTGCGAACACGGCGCGAAATGGATGAACATGCCCAGCCATGGAACTGCCAAATTCAGACTTTAAAACACACAAAAAATCGATGAATGTGAATGTGTGTTTTCAAGGTCTAGACTGGCATGACAAATCAAAATTGGTTTGGACCCCCCTCACCATGATGTGTTTCTTTGACTTTCTTGCAGACGTATACTCCACGTGGCTGAAACTGTTCAAGATGTTTCAAGAGAAACTTTTGAGCTTGCCAAGGCCACCATACATAGACCTGTCGCTGGTTTGACTTACGCAAAAGAGCCAAATCTAATCCAAATCCAAACTGAACCAAATGCTTGCCTTGCCGCCATGGTGATGCTCCTTTGGACGTTGCTGGCACTTGGTGCTGGGCAAGGGCTTCCTGCGACAAAGCCCTGTCAGACAAAGAACTGGCACTTTGCGTTTGGAAAGTGTCATCAGGCACGGAGGGAGGTAGGCCTTGTGTGGAAAAAGCAATGACCCTGTCAAACAAGTTTGACTGACCACTGTGCACCCACATTCCATTGTATTTCCTTTCTAATGCCAATACACCTCCTTTCTATAATACAAACCTATGAGAGAATGATCAAGCACCGGACACTGCTCAAGTGTCAAGTGTCGATGCCTTGTCATTTTCAGGAGAAGCGGAACATCTATCCATACGCGCTCCGCTGCACACCCGAGCCAAGTACCACCCCCCAGCCTTTGCTGAATGTCTCCTGTCGGCAGAGCTGCCCTGCTGGGAAACACCTAGGCGCTGATGGCAAAACTGGCTGTATGCAAATCGAACAGATAAGTTGCGAGGATAGTTCTCTTGGAACTTTCAAGGCTTCCGTTTTTTTGAGAGATTTTCAGGGCATGTTTCTTGGCCAAGTATATCATTTGTGTCCATCTCATCCTTTCTGCTGGCCATGTTGACAGGTTGCTTCCAAAACTCGCACTCCCAAGGCTTTCTTCGTTTGGTTGACCCTAAGGCGTTTTGCAAAGTGCATTCCTTCTCTTGGTGGAGTTTCATTCGCATCGACACCGAACGACGCTGTTTGGTCCACCCGGAGGTGTCCAGCTGAAGGATTTGCAACCCGAACTCCAATGCATCTCCTGCCCTTCCGGGAAGTTCTCCCTTGGAGGAGGCCGGTGCCCTGGGTATTTTGAAAGCTTCTAAGGTTCCTCTTGGATCCTCTTGCCAGATCCAGAATTCGCAGTCCTAATCAAAGAAACGCACGATGAGATGAGTCAAAGAATACATGTTAAATACACTACTGTTACATACTGTTGCTGTTGCTCACCCAATGTCTCTAGGCTTGTTGATCTCTGGTGTGGCGGGCGACTGGCACCAGTCTTGGCCAGTCTCTTGGCGATGTAACGGGCGTCTTCAGTGACCAGTTGCAGGTCGGTCGTCTGTCGTGACGTGGAGATCTAGTGTGGCTCACGATGCAGACGGTGCAGACGGACAAAAGAAATCAAACAGTAACTCAGTAACAATCATAACCCTGCTGGCGAAGCGACCTCTTTCTATTCCAAGTTCAGTTTGCAAGATGAGTCATGTCACTGGCGCCACACCGCTCGCTGGCTACGCTTCCCACCTTCTCGCTCAAGGTGGGTCTTCGGAGCAGCTGTTCCTATCAGCTTTCCGATGGCACCTTGCAAACTCGCAAAGGCCCTCGGCCCCAAAAGGTCGAGTTTTCCGTTCGATGCATGGGGTAGCGCTTCCGGGAATCACTGGGAAGGGATGGTTGGAAGGGATGGCCACCGAATGCTATCAGCCTCGTTGGTACTACAAAACAATATCTAACAATATCAAATACCATTGTTTGACAAGATCTGAATTCCATGTCCAGTTATATAATTATAGTCGAACCCATTCTACACAACTTGGGACCAACAGAAGCAGTCTTCCGTGCAATCAATTACAGGAGCTATTTTTGGTGGTGCTGGGTGTTGAGAAATCGGCATCGAAGGAACGCATCGAAGGAACGCCACCGAGCTATAACGGGGAAGCCCTCCGAGGAACTTTCATTTCTACAAGCTCTGTCTTTTGAGACGACCATTTTTGGGAGATGTCGTGATATAGTCTCCCAATAGGTAACCCCATAGCTCGCATAGGCAAACAAATGCACAACATGTAAAGGTATGACACCTGAACCTGCAGGGTGTTCTTATCGAGAGACGGCTCCCTGCAGGCAGCACTACGGGCCTCTCCGGTGCGTGTGAGCTTCGGGTGCTGGCCCCCGAGTCCGTGTCCGGGACGTGCCCGTTCTGATTCAGTGGTGCAATCGTGAATGTTTGTGGGGTGAGTGTCGTTGGCGAAAGAAGATGTCGGAGCAAGAATTTAAGATAATATAAAAGGTTGCCTGGTTACCCGAAGTATTGTTGTGGGTTTTCAAAGCATTGAGGGTGGAGCAGAATGTTCTGTATTTGGCATGATTGACATCGATGTGCCAACTTGGGGCATCGATGTGCCAACTTGGGAATCGAGTGATCACCGTGATGCAATCCTCAAAGGCTTTATCCCTTTTGGAACAGGGAACACCAAGCCACAAAAAGACATCTAAACCACCACGACAAAGCAACTGAAAAGCATTGAAGACCATGTTGATGTCCTAAAGATGTTCTTCAAGCAACCCAGGAACACATGCCGGATATCTAAGCTTCTCCGGTGGACCGGTCGCCAGGTACCTTATCCGCCGCATGATCCCAAGCTCCAAGCGTCCAGTTCGCCCAGTGGCACGCATCATATTGGCTCCCGGCGACCGGCGCCGCTGGGTTGCATGGGTTTCTGGCGGCTGGTGGTTCGTTTTGGGCCCCCCTTCAGGCTCTTGAAAGACGGTTTAGGCCACTGTTTGAGCACCCTCGGCAACATGCAGGTCTTCAGGGACTCAAAACTCATGTGCCCAAACGTAACTAGTGAGGGTGTTTGGCCCGTACGTAGCACCAACTGTGGGCAATTGGTGGGCGGAATTCATGGTGAATTCAATGGAATTGATGTTGTGAATGGCGATTCCAAGATATGGTCGAAACTACGTGGACCCAGGTTCCAGGTTTTGACCCACAGCGCCGCTTGATACTCCATCGCCAAGGTCTTTGTACACAGCCCCGGCGCAGTGATCTCGGGGTTCGGCGGCTGCAGTTCTCTGGGCAGCGGCCGGGGCAGGGCACGAAGGCGCGAGGAAAATCGAACAGTCGCGAGGGAAAGGGAGGCAGATGGAATCCAAGCCTTGGCAAGAATGCCCTTAAGGCATGTTATACAGACGATGGAAATACAATGACATAGATGGAAATACAACAATATATTGATATATATATATATATTGTTGATTATCTTGGTTTTTAGCTTGCCATCTCAGAATCTTAAACTTTGTGTTTATAAACTAAGTAAGTAGCTAAAAACTCTACCTTAGAGTCTTAGAATAAAAGTCAAGACATCGTGAGTTGAGGAACCCCTGCTGGTCTGGAAGGATGTGACATATTGAGTGACATGTTTTTCTGGTTGGAAGCCTCCTGACCCATGTCACATGTCACACTGCTTTCATCCAACTTGATCGTTTAGTGTTGCAATTTGCAACTCGCCCTTCATAATCGCAATGGCAACACTTTGACATCAAAGGAGGGGAGAGTCTCCAAGTGTTTTTTTTCTCGACAGCCCCGAAAGTTCAATGGAATGAACTCGATATGTACTAACTATATATATATATAACTCGATCATTTCGTTTGTTCCGATAGGCTTGGGCAAGCCACGTCGAAACTGCTTTCTGGTTGTCTCACTTTCGAAAGACTTCTCAGGAGCAGCCCATGTATCAGCGCTTCTGGTTGCTCGCAGCCATTGGCGGTTGCACGACGAAGCAGAAAAGCCAAAATGCGGCTGCCGTGGGAGCAGACGGTGTCTTGGAGCTGAGAAGTGAAGAATGTGAAGATGGTGGAGGAAATAGATTTCTCCAATCACCGTGCAACCAGTGGCTTTGGTGATCTTAATTGGCAAAATCTCAGAAACCAGACGAACCAGGTGTTGATTCCACTGGTAGCTTTTGGGCTAGTTCTTGGAACCACTGATATACGTGCTATGCTATGGAGGTACTGTAAGTGGATCCACTGGAATCCTGCTCTGCGTTTTTTGAATGTTAATATTAATTCCAAAACAATTAGGGTAAGGTGTACTATGTCCAAACAGTGCGGCTTGTGCAGATCAACTGTGACTCTGAAGCTTGGACAGATAACCCGAGTGGTACTCGTACTGATTCAAGGGAGCAAGCATGGGCCCATCGCAAAAGGATCTAAGACCAAAAATGGTTAGAGAGGAAGATGAAGGGTTGGCTTCATTTTGCTTATGCCCACTCACCACCTGACTGGCTGCCCCTCTTTGTGACTTGCTAGGCTCTTTGTGTTTTTGAACACATCGGTGGCCTTTGGCTCCAAATTCGTGAGCAGCATGGCGTATAATCTCGCTTGGCGGAGGATAGCGACTCCACCCCCCGAGGCACCAATGCCATCCAAAAGCCCCCAAGACTCAATGACAAGCGCTCCTTTCTCATCCTTTTTTCTCTTCCACGATTCTTGTCCCTGTATTTTTGTTCCCCGCAGTCCGTTGATGGCCTTTCCCGATATGTCCGTTCCCCGCCAGTCCTTGAGGTGTCTTGCTGGCATCCGCTGCCTCACTTGCGATTGGCAGTGGCTACTTCAGCTTGCCACCATCGTGTCTGGGGCGGCACCAGAGGCCGCTTCTAGGTTCGAGGCCATCGCTATTAGGTTGGAAGCCATTGCTGGTAGGTTGGAGGCCATCGCCGCGCCCTATGTGTGATTAGCCTTGTCTTATGGCAGCTGGGCACTCCCATGACTGCCACCTGCCATCACCCTAAAATTTTGCCAATCAAATTACAACCCCATTAGATTGTTTTCAAGCTAAGATTTCATAGGGGGTTGGTTGTATGATGATTGATTTATGTTATTTTATAATCATTCAAACATATGTTTGAGGACTTCAAGGTTCAGGTGATTTCAGGTGCTTCAAGCAGGTGCGGGTTGAAAGCGACGCAGGGAAGGCATCATGAGTTTTCGCCTTAGCTTCAGAAGCAGGTACTGCACCTCCTCCCTTGATTTGATGGCTTCCCACAAGACCAGTGAATTGGATGAATTGGGCCCACCCGTTGACTAGTTGGAGTTTAGTATCCTGGCACTCTGCACGCCCAGCTCCAGGGTCACCAACCAACAATCGGTTGTCACCGAACTTACGATAAAAGCAACTGTTCTACGAACTCAAATAATTACAATAAATGCATAATTAACAAATGTTCTGCACAACCCAAAGCATACCTGCTAGCCTGCTCGGGAGCTTCTGCGCACCACTGAGCACAGTCCACCATCTTCAATTGATCAACCCTTGGGCGCCAAGGACCTCAGGTGGGCGTGCCCACAATGCCACAGCGCCCAGCTTTCTGTGGCCTGGACTGCAAGATGCAAAGAGTGAGTGGTAGACGAACTCGTGGATGCAAAGAGGTTCGAAACAGACTTCAGAAGACTTTTTTTGAAAAACCTCAACTTTGAGAGGATTTAGTTGAATGTGGGCAACGGTCACTGCCCGAAAGATGGCTAAAGATGTGGTGCTTGGTGTGAGATGTCCGAGTCATGGAGTCAAATTTGACATCCTCATTGTCATTTGCTCACTGGATACCACAAACACTCAAGAGGGCATGCATCAGGCTTGCCTTCCATTCATGACCACCAAAGATCAGCAAAGTATACAGTATACTCTGGATTTGCTTTCACGAATTGCAGCGCAAGGAATCCTATATTGCCCCCCCTGTGAGCCACATGATCGCAGCAAAATACATTCCACACAATCACAGGTGTCATAGTGGAAATTAAAGACAACCTGTAGACAACGGCCCGAGATGATGGGAGATGGGAACGCATCATGGCATTGCCTGTTGCTTCGCTTTGGTGTCTTTCCAGTTGTGTGGGTATGCGGCGGTATATGGTCCTTGCTGCCCTGCATCTTCAGCTGCAGATGGTTGAAATAAGGCTCCAACCCTTACCCGTTAACTCCTCGTCACTGACTTTCATGCCGAAGTGGATCCTCTTCGCGAGCAAAAAGCGTAATTAGCGAAGGTCGACGGAACCTGCGGCTGTCGGGTTACGAGTGACTCGCCGAGCTCCTCCCATGAGCTATGCGAAATCAAGATTCTGACTATGGAACCAGGGGGAAAGGTTAAGTTCCCAAAACATAGAAACCAAATCATTAGCACGAGCGCTTCTTGAAGAAGCGTGAACTATCCTGCATCCTAAATAGTAGCAGCTACCTACCTTTAGCTATAACCTCTACTAGCGGCCAACCCCCCCCAAAAAGAACAACAACAAATGCTATTTGTAAGTTGATCTACAGCCTCAGCAACCTCAGGTTTCAGGCTGAAAGAAGACAGTTTCACAGTGTGAACCAGAAAATGCAATCCAACCCAAGAGCCATTTATATATCCATCCAACCTTGCCCCGACAAAATGGTGAAATTGGAGTTCTGGGGAGTTTTGTTCATCAACTACCTCGTTGATGTTTTGAGTTCTTAAAGGGTTTTGGTTGAGCCATTGTCGTTTTCCCTTGTGGGGTTTCTTGCGATTTTTTTAGTCTAGAAACACAACTCTGTTTATTGTTATTCAATAAGTTGGCTGACTGCTTTGTTAATCCCTCCCTGCCAGCCAGCCAGCCCAAGCCTGAGGATGCTGGAGGATCGTGATTCACAGCTTTTAGCGTCAGGCCAGGGACCGGTAGAAAAGAATCGAACTCCATCATTCACCTATCAAAGATCGCAATGTGAATAATCTTTTGCCATGTTGATCGTGTTAATAGTATGGGCACCCCGAGACCCGTTCCTGCCCGCGCTTCCCGGCTTCTCCAGAAACTAGGCATGTCCACCGAGCCCATGCCTTTTTGTTATTGACTCGCATTCCAGCTGTTTCTTAGCCTCGGTTCGTTTGACTATTTTTGTCGACATCTTTGCAGGTTTGAGGACCTTGAGCGAAACGATCCTGGTGAATAACACTGCCCCTTGACTGCACACGGACTTTGCCAGCTGACTTCTGGAGGATTGACCAGCATCCAGTAGCCATGCACAAAGGAATGTGCAATATATTGGTTGTCACGATGCTCGGACGTTGTTCCCCCTTTTTTGCTGATGGTGCAATTTTCCCTGCACGACGGCTTACAAGTTGTGACGCACACCAGGAGCCCAACATAAATCCCAATCCGGGTTCTATGCAACAAATATGTCGCCCACACCATTCATGTCAATCACAAGGTAGATAAACACGTTAACCAAACCATCTCCAACAGGCTGAATGGCAATGAGAGGAACCCACGGTGTCGTTGCCTCTTGCCTTTGCGAAAGGTTGCACAATTGACCTTTTGTTCTTCTTTTCCAATCCTGCGATAGCGCCGTTTGTTTGAACTAATACAAAGTTTGGCTTTTGTCCTTCTGATGTAAGCAAGAACAGCAAACTGTTGTCCAACTGACAAGAACCGCTGAAGAAAACTAAACTGAAGTGGACGAACACTTTCCAGACATCAATCAAAGAATCGCGCAATCTTTATTCAGAACTCATACCTCCCATTCCCAAGGCTTAGTCAAGTTCGCCACGTTCAACCTTCTTTTACAGTGCAACAATCTTAAAATCATTCAACATCTATGCCAAGACCAAGCACCTTTAAGATGGAAAATAACTTGGTTGAAGTAATTTGGCGGTATTTCAGAGTACGGGGTTTATGAATTATGAAGCATCAAAGCAACTTGGCTACCTACTTGGAGTCACTCCTCAGCAATCCTCAGCATCAAACCTGCGCCTGTTTTCCAGCATCTTCCAGCTCACACAGGCCCTCCACGCCTGTGCCAAGATGCCCACAGCCCCACCCCGACGGCCTGGCTTGGAGGGCTCGGAGTGGCCTGGCTGCAATTGGCGCAGCTCTTGGAGTGACCAACGACTCGAAGTAAACTATATATCAACAACAAAGGGCATCGCTACTAGGAGCAAGGACGCTACTAGGGGCGCTCCTGGCCTTACACTAGTAATTAACAAGAAACTACTATTAGTAGCGATGGCCTCCAACCTAATAGCAATGGCCACCAACCTAAACCCCTATGTTTGGTGGATTTGCTGAAATTCCTTTAGGGCCGTGAAATGACCTATGACATCCTATGATTCTAGACCTTTCGCCGCCAGAATCAAGATGAATCTAACAAATATATGGGGACTCTCTTGAGAAATGGTAGATCGGGAATATATGTGTCCCAAATGTTTAAGCACTAAACAGTAAACGGTTTCCGGGCTCTTAGTTTCGGCTTTTATTGAGGACCAACTCTCGCCTGAGAGCCATTCTTCCCGCCAGGTATGGCTGTGAGCCTTGGACCCCCGATGAGCTAGGCAGGTCGCCCGAAACCCGAAGGGGCCGAAACTGAAACCACTTTGCTCGTCCGGTTTCGGTCCGGTCGGTTGGAGTGGGTCTCATAGAACGAGGTGGTTGGTCTTGGGTCGTTTTGTTTCGATCTCTTCCTATCTATTATTCAGGTGTTTACATGTTTTTACTAAAACGCACATGGCTACAGTGACTCTAGTGGTGTGGTGACTTTGAAGGAAGTTTGCATCACAGCCCAGTCATGAACATTCCTTGAAAGGTGCAAGTAAAATGGGTTGAATAATTGTATGCTGTTTTATACGATGTCTTTCAGTTTTCCTGGATTCTGAAGGGGCACTTACCCTGCAGGTGCTTCCCCTTGGCACTTTAGTGTTGCAGGCCTTAGCATCCACTCCGGAGAGAATCGTGCGTACAGCCGGCTTGTGCCTTGTTTGCAGAGAACAAACGAGCTTAAGAACACAGTTGAGACATGTTGGGAGCTACCTTCATCATCCTTCATCCATATATATATATATATGTATATATTCATGTTTTCTTAAAAAAAAAAAATTAAATGGCCCACTTGTTTTCCACATCCTTTTGGTCAAACTGACAATCACCATCGCCGCGAATACAACGAAATCCACATCTCTCCGACGCGAGAAGAACATAGAAGAACCATGACCTCCGAAATGTGGGACATCAGAAGCCAGAAGAAGAAAAGGCGCAAAGGTTGAAAAGACAGGAAGCAAACAACGGTCTCATTTGCCGATCTCTTGTGTATATGGTATATGCGGTTTCATCATGTTTCAACTGTTTTCGCATTTGTCTCATGTCACTCCGACGTAAAGAAATGTGTTTAAAGCACGGACAGTACTTTTTTCTTAAATCACTCCACTGGTCGACCCGAGTTGGATCGAATCTTGAGATCGGGAGTCTTTCTTGACTCAGGTCTCCACCTTAGAGCTGGCGACCAATATCGTCCGTGACCACGGCTATGTCCTCTTCAGATACCAAGTCGATTCCGAGGACACCCAGAGTCGAGCTGCGTTTCTTTTGGTGCCAAAGGAAGTTATGCAACGACCCGTTCAGGGAAACTCGTCTGGAAGCGTACGGAGGTAATTAGGTCCTTTCTGTTGTTGTTTTAATTTAGTGTTTGTTGCCTAAATCAGAAGCTGTATACATACACAGATTTGCTACGTACCATCAAGCGGAACAAGCACCTCAATCGAAAGTTACCTTACAGGCACAAACTTGGACAACACAACTGTGAGATGCTCTTGCGTATGATCACATGCACTTAGCATGTGCCTACAAGAGGGCCAAGAGAAGCCCTTGAGGCTGGGCCTCGGCCATTTTCCAAAGAAGTCGCTTTTCTGTTGGGATCTCCGCGTCGCTCCGCTCCAGGAGGGTTACGATGGACTCCGCCTGGAGGTGGATTGGACCGAGGTACAGGGGCCTTTTCGGAGGGCCGAGGAGGGCCAGTGGACCACATGAAGGATTCACAAGAAGGACCATGTTGGTGTTCTACGCAAGTTCTGTTTCATTGTGAGTGGTGATCCATGATGATTCCACCTGTTGGGTGAGAATGAGCGGTTCAACGTGTGCAAAGGGAAGCACACTCCTTTACAACTTGGTGTGATTTTGAATATCACCTTTAAAAAATTCAAGCTTGCGGTCACTGACCTCATGGAGCGCGAATTTCAAGGATCACTTGCAAGCACGTTGGCAGATTAGTTGTATGCTGAACTTGTTTATCAGGGATTGCGGATGACTGCGCATCCACTAGTGAAAGAGGGAGATTCCCTGATGCCTTTGTTGTTCGCCAGTCAAAACATAAATGCTCGTGTTGTGGGTCCCTCTGCTGTCTTGTGATGCGCAGAAATGGAGTGCGGACGTTCAAACAGATTTAACTTTTCATTAACTCATTCACCCTTGATGATTCTGATTCTGTGCCACTTGGCTCCAGCGGTGTAGAGGCATGAATATCAATGGCTCTCTCTTGCGGTTGGTCCGAAGCATGAATGTTCCAGCTACTCGTAGGGCACTTCGCACCAGGTACTCAAGAGCTAGCAGCAAGATAGGCTTTGACGGACCGTCCCATAGATTAGTGACGGCATGGAAAACTATCTCCAGAAGTCCAGAACCATCCAGAACCCAAACCCAAACTCACTGCAGACAATTTTGAAGGAGATTGGCCCCAGCTTCGAATCGGATTCCATGCGAACGTCAGGTGATGCCCCTGGTGTCTCAGCAATTGACCTGGAAAGAGCTGCGCGTGAACCTCACCCGAGGCCGTCGCCTGGATGGTGGTGCCTCATGTTCCTCTCCTTTTTTTTCCGGAGGGGGTGGGAGGATCTGTCACCTGCACACAGCTGCCTGAGTTCCACAGTGAGCAATCCTTGCACTCAGCTCTATGGCCAGTGTGAAAGAGCGAAGTGGTTCTTCTTTCTTACAATTACTCCACAAGGTCCATAGATGGCCTCCAACCTAATACCAATGGCCTCCAACCGAATAGCGATGGCCTCCAACCTTAGAGCGATGGCCTCCAACCTTAGAGCGATGGCCTCCAACCTAAGAGCGATTGCCTCCATCCTAATAGCGATGGCCTCCAACCCAATAGCGATGGCCTCCATCCTAATAACGATGGCCTCCAACCTAACAGCGATGGCCTCCAAGCTAATAGCGATGGCCTCCATCCTAATAGCGATGGCCTCCAACCTAAGAGCGATGGCCTCCAACCTAAGAGCGATGGCCTCCATCCTAATAGCGATGACCTCCAACCTAATAGCGATG